ATATATTCCATAGGTATATGCACAAAAGGAGAAGAGCAAATAAGCATGTCCTAGAGCCAGAAATGAGGGCAATACTACAAATACTTGCTAGTTTGTCAAGAATCTTATCAGACAAAACAAAACACCTCCAAGCTTCTGAGTTATTGTGGTCTCTATTGCAAGTGACCAAAGGAAACATATTGTTTAGGAAGAGCAGAAAAATGTCTGATTTTAAGATGCTGGGAAAGTGCATTTGAAGCATAACGAATTAAGAAACTTCAGGCCGGTGGTGGTGGAGAACGCCTTTAATCCTAGCACTTGGGGAAGCAGAGGAAGGCAGCTCTCTGTTCAAGGCCAGCCTGGTCTACATAGCAAGTCCCAGGCCAGCTGGGGCTACAGGGAGACCCTCTCTCTCTCAAAAAAAAAAAAAAAAAAAAAAAAAAAAGAGTTAAGAAACTTCTTTATCATATGTTAATCAGTCTCCTAAGTGGCAGCCTCAGGATCAGCAAACATGGATTTATAAAGCTCCCTCAGCCTCCTGTCATATAGGTTGATACCGTTACTCAAATGTGAATTCTTTGACCACAGTCCTATAAGCCAACAAGAGAATGAGTTTCTCTTTACAATCCACTGTAGGAATAGATATACATAACCTGATCCTTCTAAAGTTGTTGTGCAGATAACTCCTCTTAGCTCTTGGTATATATTAAAATGCATGAGTCAGGCTTGGTGGCATATACCTGCAATCCCAGCACTGGGGAAGCTATGGCAAGAGAGTTGCCACACACTTGAGGCCACCCTGTGGTATGTAGTGAGTTCTATCCATTCTGGGCTCCAGAGTTAGGCTCTTTCTCCAAAATGAAGAGAGGGAAGGAAGGAGGGAGGGAGGCAAGCAGTGAGGGAAGGAAGGAGAGAGGGGTGAGGAAAAAGCACAGTTCCTGGAGTGCAGCAACCAGAGCCATTGTAAAACAATTGAACCAAGGATGGTATTTTCTTTCTTTGAAAATTAAGAGGGGGGGATTGAAATCTTCAAATACATTTTATGACATTTATATACATATACACTTTCACACACAAGTAGTATCTATATGTATTATATGTGTATGTTTTCTTCATAGGCTTTACCTATTTCTACAAAGGAAAGGAATATTGGAAATTCAACAATCAGATACTCAAGGTAGAACCTGGGTATCCAAGATCCATTCTCAAGGATTTTATGGGCTGTGATGGACCAACAGATCGAGATAAAGAAGGACACAGCCCACCAGATGATGTAGACATTGTCATCAAACTGGACAACACAGCCAGCACTGTGAAAGCCATAGCTATTGTCATTCCCTGCATCTTGGCCTTATGCCTCCTTGTATTGGTTTACACTGTGTTCCAGTTCAAAAGGAAAGGAACACCCCGTCACATACTGTACTGTAAACGCTCTATGCAAGAGTGGGTGTGATGTAGGGATTTTCTTTTCTTTCTTTCTTTTCCAGGAGTTTGTGGTAACTTGAGAATCAAGACAAGAGCTGTTATGCTGTTTCCTAGCTAGGAGCAGGCTTGTGGCAGCCTGATTCAGGGCTGACCTTCCAAACCCAGAGGGTTGCTGGTCCTGCATATGAGTGGAAATACACTCATGGGGAAGCTTCCATGATGCACAGTATCTGCCGTTATTCAGTCTTTTGTCTTTCTTTGTCATTCAGTCCTAGGCCTTTCCTCTGCACGCTCAATGCCCAGTAAAATTTCAGGATCAATTCAAGAAGAGGAAATAAAGAAGAAATTTTTCTTATTAATTTTTTAAAGTATTTTTTCCTTCTGAAATCTGAGCCCATTTCTGGGAGAGAGAGAGAGAGAGAGAAAAAAAAAAAGAGCAAAACAGAAAACCCTTAGGTTTTGATATAAAGCAAAGGAAGAAAGAGTTTAAAAATAAAAACAACAACAAAATCCACATTTGAACTTTCAGGAAAGTATGAAGACCCAAAACAGCTTTGTCTCCAAAGAAGATAGCTCTGTGACTGCTACGGAAAGTCTCCTGCACATCCTTTTGTCAGGTGGGAGATCTGGAATATACATGCAGGATTCTAGACTGTTGGGACAGCCATTTTCCAACAAACAAGGGGCCAAAATATCTGCAATATAGTAACAGCCTTAATAATACATCCATTTTTCGTTTTCTACAGCTGTTCTTAGCTACGTACTCAACGTTTCATCACAATCATAGTCATAGCTATATTCAAACAGGACTTTTTTATTGTTTTGAAGTGTTTCTGAACCCCCTCTTGCGACCTGAACCGGCATCATTGTGGTATCTCCCCAGGTTGTATTAGGCCATTGTCCCAGGCCTTTCATTGGTCTGTCAGGAATACTCAGTGCAAAGCAAAGCAAGTAGTGTGTCTCTGAAATAGATGAAAGCGATGGTTATTTTATAAAGATATGTGACTCTGTTACTACATTGGTGTAACCCTTTGAGAACTATCAGACCAGCTTGCAGAGTCAGAATGATCAGTCTTGCAACCTGGTCATTTGTAGAACTGACCAATGGTGAAAACTGTCACAGGTTTGAGAAGTTCAGGTTTGTAAAGCCTATCCTATAACCCCATGTAAGTCCTAAATGATTGACAGTACTGCATAAATACTTTTATAACAAAGAGCAATGATGTGTCTTGCCAAAAGTTTTCTGGCAAATAAAAAAGATATTTTGTTAACAGTATCTTGCAAGAGTGAAATTTTATTTGAATAAGTGGTTTGAACAACCTAAGCTTTTTCTTCCTTAGACATACTAAGTTTTTTTAATTTAAAACCCATTGCATGACAATTCAATTTGCCATAGATTATGCAGATAGTATTGCTATGTTAAAACTGAATTAAAATGATGACTCTGAGTTTGCATGAATATCTTCCGATGCATTACCTATTGCATGTCAACCATAGTTCTCAAAGGGTTAGTGTGGCTTCTGGCATTTAGCCATCCATTAGATCACTGACAGAGCCAAGAGACCACCAAAGCATTTCATTGTTGAGTGTAATTTGTCCTAATAGCAGTATTGTCATTTTTATGTGACCTGCAGAGCAGGTTTGTATCAATATTTTTTCCTAGAGAAAAGTCAGCAACTGACAGACCTCTTTATTGATTTTTAGGAGCTGCTTCTTGCAGTGAAAGGCTTACAGCCACTGGGCTGTGAACTTATTAGAAATGGTCAGGAAGAATGCACCCCATGAGTCAGACAATTGGCTTTGTGTGAAAGCCAGCTTTTGAGGGGATTAGCTTTTGAAACAATGAACAGCTTGCCTTGAACTTGATATTGATCTGTTAACTGTCATTAACAACTTAAACATTGTCTTCTGCAAAAATTTTCCATGAAGAGTCCTGTTCTATGTCTTTGCTCTTTGACCTTTAACTTGCAAACTGGCACAAACTGAAGGAAATCATATATCACTTCTCCATTGGATTGTTGTTCTCTAAGACCTAGTAAGCAAGAGCTATTTCCTTAGAGTGGAGAGAGAAAGTCTGGGTAGTGGATCTGCAGGTGGGCGCTTTGCTTTCTACATGCACACTCTGAAAATGCCCTATAGGTAGAGGTGAATTTTTTAGTTTCTCCTTTAATATAATTTCAAACCTAATTTCATCATTTTAGTATAAATTACAAAAACTATAGAAAAAAAAACCTTAAATACTTGAATGGCCAGTGTGGCTTTTATATAAAGCAGGAATTTTATACTAGCGAAAATTTCTTACTCATTTGCTAATAATACACATTTCCAGATGATTTTTAATGAGTGTAGGTATACATTCTTATTTGGAAATGGATAGTTTGGCTGCCTTGAATTTATATTTATACTCAACATAGCATGAAATTTAGAATGACTTTTGGTTAAACTATATGTTTATGATTTGGTTGGGGAAAATATTTTCTAATCATGGGTGGCATGCTGAAAAGCCTTGCAAGTTGATATTTCTTACAATCTGAACATATATCCTGTAAGGCTAAGAAAAAAAAAAGACAGGAATGAGGAATGACTTACAGCACCACATTATGCAATGCAAACTGTATTTTGACAGGATAGCAGAGATTACAAAGGTGAGGGCCAAAAAAGCAAGGGAAAGGACTGGGATCAGCCCTGTAGCTCTACTTCAGTGTTTGCTATCTCAATGATGCTGATATCACAAAGTTATCACTGCAGCCGAGCATGGAGGACTCTATACATAAGCCTGTTTATACAGTATTTGCTCTTAGAGGATCTAATCCTTTTAGAACCTTGATGCCAAGATAAAAATGACTGGAAACTTTTTTTTTTTTTTTGCTAAAGATAGAAAAGAGGAATTATGTCACTTTGGGACATGTGCAAATCACTGAGGAATTCCATCAGCTTATATTGAACTTCTTTATTTCTTAAATCAGAATGAAACTAAGTGATCTATTGTCTTTACTCACTCATCACAGTATCCTGATTCATCACAAGACTGTAAGTACCTAAGGGCTAGAAAACAATCATAGCATTCAGAAGGAAGGAGTGTTCATCATGCTTAAGTTCTGGCAAATATTATGGATAAAGTTTGAGTTACATTGCCTTGAATATCTGAAGCCTATGTGGCAAGAAATGGCATATATGTCTGTTTCTTGATGAGGACATTATAAAGCCACAAGAGACAAGAGCATAAGTATAATGTAAGGATAAATACTGGGGTTCCTTTATTCATTATACATCAAGCACTTCCTGCATGTGGTTGCTGACTCTTCTTACACTTGTGAGTGATTAAAAAAAAGATGAAAAGAAAAAAAAATGGTAATGCTAAGGGAACCATAAAAAGGAAATGATTAATGAATCTAGCACATGAAAATAATAATTCAAAAATAGTAAGAAATAAAGTTCCTTGGGTCAAGAACATAATGTCATCTCAGTATCCATGGAGACATGTAAGCTATCAAGTGTTATTCTGTCATCTCTCTATGAATAACATGAAAAGCTCAGACTTAATGTTTCTCAAATTAAAATGAAAACATGTTCATGCTCATAAAATAATTTTTCTTTCATTATTTTTATTACTTTACCAAATATAAAGACAACTTTAAGTAAGATAACAGTTTTATATAGAGTATATACTTTATAATTTCAAATATTCTTCTTCTGAATATTATTCATCAAAGTAAATGAAATATTAAAATAGCTGATCAGTTTGGATTTTCTGAAAGCAGCAGTTCTTCATCAGGTCTGTAGAGAAGACTGTGATTTTGACCATCAGCCATCTGAAAACAAAGTGTCTACAGAGATGGAAAAGCAGGTGAAGACAGTTGATCTTTACCACACCACAGGTCACAGAGCTCCATTAGAAAACATTATATACTAGGAACAAATACAATTTGTTACTAATCAGAAAGCAAGGCTTTTCTGAATCAAATGTAATAAATTACTAAGTAATGGTCACCAAGAATAATTACTAAGTAATAAAAGACAGAGACTGGTTTATTGAAATAAGCAAATGCTACTTTTTTTAGTCAAGCTTCCTATAATCTCTTTTATTAATACACAATTCATTCTTTTTCAAATACTGTACATTTAGTTTTGTTTCCTTTCTGTAAATGCTTAAAACACAATGTGGTGGATTAAAACATTGCACAAATTTCACTGGTAGTTGAGGTATATAAATGATGGTGTATATACTGAATTCTAGGAGGTGTAATGAAATATTTGTCAGTTCTACGTGTTGTGTTGATATCTCTAGTATGGTACAAATATAAACCAACACTATGTGAATCTTACAGTGGAATAGCTAGTGTGCCCAAACTGACTGAATTCAATGTGCTATCTGAAGAGCAATAGATGTTACCATCAAATAGACATGTCAAACAAAATCATGATAACAATTATATTTTTTAAGTATTTCAGGTTATTTTCAGAACCAAATAAAGGCAGTGAGTTACTGATAGTTTTGAGTCTGTTGTATGTAATGAAATAAGCTTGGGAATAGTGAGGAAATCTTTACCGCAACTGCAGCAAAAAGTTCAATGTTTGAGGTGCTAAGAGCATATTGTAAACTATTACAGACACAAGGTAGCCAGAAACTCCTGTTGTAGAATCAGTCATTTCTTTCAATGTCATTCATCTTTGTGATACTGAATTTTTATGACCACAGGAAGCAAGTGTCAGAACCTATGAGTATAGGTGACAGGCTTCAAATTGCCTGAGAAGGAACTAGTGCTACGTCATAAAGTGTAAACAGGTCTCTTTTAAAAGTTAGAAGTTTACAAAATAAAGAAAATAACAATCAGGACAGGATCACCCAAATTGATATAGAAGATTTCTATTCTGTTTCATAAACAGAGTTGTGGTGGAACAGGACAAAGTGAGCCTTTTGTAAAATATGAAGACATACTCTAGCACTCTGTAATATTACAACTGGAAATTTTACCTTAGCAAGTACAAAACATAGAAAAATGCAATTTCAAGCTCTTCACACTAGATCTGAGTGTGTGATTTTTCAATGTATATATTAGTCAGTGGTCATTAGACATTACCTGTGTAGACACATCTGATTCCCATTCATTGCCTTGTAGGCTCAAAATATTAAAAGTAGGCGTTCAGTGACCTCAGTCAGAAAGATGTTAGAATCCTGTGAGAAAAGCCATTTCCCTAGGGTAGAAATTTACCTCAATAACCATATAACACAAGACACTTGGCATAGTAGGAAAAAGTTGTCTTAGTGTTCTAGTCTCTTCTCCATGTAACTTTTGTCTATAATGTATCACTCAAATCATTTTCCTTGTCTCTCTATTGTCATAAGTTTCAGTTGATTCTGAAATACTTCAGATCAGATTAATAACATCTCATGATAAATATCTCTTTCAATTTGTCTACTTTGAAATTTAAACCAATAGTATAGGAAGCCTAGAATGATTACTAATCTGACATATTAACAGATTTTGAGGGAAAACCACATGGGATATAAAATTCCTGTCAATTTACTAATAGAGTACAGAAGCAAAAGTCGTCAATTTTTAAATATGACAGTGGCTTAGTAACTAAACATGGCATGCCTCATTTTTTAAAGAATAATGCTAATTCTTTATAGTGAGTAATGCTAGATTATGGGAAGCTAAGTACTCTAATGAAGACTTCACAGGCCTTGGTAACTAGTACATTTTAAGGAAAATGAAGGCATAACAAGCATCTTGTGGTGAGTACATAATAAGCATAAAAAGCTTTTTATGAAGGACATTTATATGTGGAGATATCTGAGGAACCTATGCTTTTTCAATTGAAAGGGCAATGTGTCTTAGAATTTTCCTTATATTAGCATAGGACTGAGTACAAAATCCAGATGTGCATTCCAAATGTCCTTCCATGAAAGGGCACGCTGGGCCATGTAGGAAAGCACATCACAAACTAGAATTTGTGCTGATTCATATGACCATGCCCTGTGCTCTGCTGTAGAGCTAGATTTTTATACCCTTAAGAACGGAGACAAGAATCGAATATAAATATGAATCTATAGTACTGTCTTGTTAGGCCATTTAGCTTCAAAGCAAGATATCACTGGCTTTTATTTCACTAAGAAAAACAGAAAGAGAGACTGGTGAGCAAGATTCAAACAATCAACATTATCACCTACAAAGATATCTGTGGACATTTTATTTATCTGTTTTTGTTCATGAAAAAACTTCTAAGTTGGATAGACCTTTATATAGTACTTGATGTGTAGCTTGATGGGATACTAGACATAGCATTTTTAACACAGGCCTTTTCCCAAATGACTCGTATATGATAAAGCTCTGGTGAGATGTACAATGGTAGGATGCTTTTCCCAGGATAAGCTACAGTGCTGCTTCTATTGGTCATCTTTTATAGGAATGTTTGTTGCTTTGCTGGCCTGTCTTGCCAAAATGCAGATGAATAAAGCCTTGTATGCACTCTGTATTTGAAGTCACTAGGATGCATGTTTTGTTTGCATTGTCATGTAATGCCAATTTGAACTTACCCCTTTCTATATATCAACAGTCTTCTCATTAATATAATACAGGCTTGGAAGGAATGATTTTGGTAGTATTAAAGGATTATCTTAAATAAATGTCATTTTTTTCTGCTGTCACCGAAATAACATTAGAGACCACAGTATTGCCCGACTTCTCACAGTTCCTTATTATATACCATTGTCTGTGTAAAATTAAGATTTTAGTTATTTTCTTTATATCTGATAATAGGATTCATTATTCCTGTCTATAGTAACAAATACAAAATTTCACAATCTTCATTACTTCTAAACAAATATGGATTCCAGTCATGTTTGAGTGAATATCAGGGTTTTCTACTCCTTCGGTTCTGACGTCATCGTTTGTTTGTGTTCTGTTACCTTGAAATGAGATGTTGGGAAGGTATTGCATAATGCTCTCTTATGCATTTTCAGTCCATATTTGTGTTCTTTCCCATTACCAGCTTGTCTTTCCCCACTTTTTCTTTCAAGTTAATTTTTTTCTTTTTCTTTTGAAAACCAGAACTGAGAAACACTGGTTGTCATAGATGCAACTGAGGAACTATGTTTGTTTCTCAGCATTTGTCATCAAAAATTTAATGCAAAACTTATTCTTTATAAATTTCTCACAAAACTCATTGGCTTCTAACTTTTTATAAAGCTATTATCCATAGAAAAGTGACATGCTGA